AATACTTACAAGGGGAGATAGATTTCAATGTTTGTAATGGCCCAATAGAATAGTATCTGTGAATGTTGCCATCTTGAATTTCTGCACCATGATGAAGATAATCAGCATTCTGAGATCAAGAATTGGCCTCCACCCACCCTTCTTTTTGGCAACCAGAAAGTGTACTTGGAGTAAAATCTGCTTCTTCTGCACTGATATATTGACTTAAATGGAATATATGGGTCAAATGTGTTAATGTAACCCAATCACTATCCAAGATTAAATAGTGTTAAATAAGGTTTGGAGTTTGGAATTGAGAGACCTCAGTCTGCTCAGTATCATGGCGCAAACACCATTAAACATGAGGCAGAATAGCCCATCCCCTCATTATTTTATTCACCAATTAGGCCTAGTTTCTGATGCATGAAATTTGGTTCACTGATGTCTGGTTCCCCTTTTCTTGTTTACCATGCATGGCATTAACACAGTCCTTGAGTTATATCAGTAGGCCTTTTTGTTTGGACTAATTAAGTCGGTCTCCCTTTCATACCCTTTACCATCAATATTTGTTATTATAGGTCTTATAAACTTTCACTTACTTTTTACTGTTGAGCTCACAATTACGGTAAATTTGTAGGCCCAATTATTACAACAGTACTCAGTGGGAACTATTTCCACAGCTTGGAGGCAGAGGGAAAGAATCTCTTGTCTCAGCTGAGGGAAGAAAGGGGACAAAGAATGTGTTTAAGCAGTTGGATTTGTCTTGATTTGTTTGAGAGCCATGGAGAGCAGCCTCTGTCTCTCTCCAGAAAACAGGGTAGTGGTGCCTTTCTGTGAATGGGAGTTGTCTGGGTGTAGTTTATCACTATATCTCTGTTTAAGGAAACAAGACTTGAGCACATTTTGTCAATACACAAATTACATTAATATACTTGATGCTTCGTCACTGATTTCTGTTCCAAATGTAAAATTGACTTGCCATGCTCCAAAATCTGCTACCAAAAGGCATAATACTAATAACTTACAATGTCCCCTTGCAATCACTGCAATACCACTCACATTCACATGCCCAAGTGCTCCCAAAACAAAGTTCTTAACACAATAAGCAGCCTCTTCATCCATCAGAGTAGAAATGACAGAAAGAAAGGAGAGTGGCTGACTGCTTTGGACAGAAGATGGGAATTATATAGTATGTATTATATGTATAATTATAATACATAAATACAATGATCCAAATGCCACTGTCATCTATACTTGGTTATCAACCTGGAGTGCTTCTATTGACACCAGCAGGTCTGAATTATGCAATTTGTCCAACAGAGGGCAGTGGTACACACACTAGCCAGTTCATTCCGTACATTTGTTTGAAAATTCTCTTGCATAACTGCTGTTCATGAATTATTGTATTATCTTTATGTATGACAGCTCTTCTGTGTGAGGCTCTTTATAACTTTAGCTAATATATCAAGATGTGTTAATATTTTAGATACTTTACTTATAATGTATTGGAGCAACAGTCCTGATACAAACAAATAAATAGGAGATCCTCCTTCCTGCTTCTCTGAACTTTCACCTCACTTCTCTTGCATGCCTTCCTGAACATCAATGTCCTTATTGCAATAACAAACTGTTTACAAAACTGCAGCTATGTTGCCTACAAACTATTAAATGCTACGAAAGCTCAGTACGATGGTACTATTCAACATTGTACCTTGAAAAGGATCTTTTGAGAAAGTTATGGTTGATAAAGAAGTTTGATTGTGGGATGCACTTATTCTAGCAGATATAATAGGAGCCAATATTTTAATCTGTTGATGATCCTCTTCCTTTTTTGTTATGGTGGTGGGACAGGAGGAGAAACAATGGTGAGATAGAATATTCCTAAATGTGTTGTTGATTCTGCTCTTCTATATTATTATTTCTTATATTTATTATAGTTGTGCCTCGGAGCCCCAGTTATGGACCAGACCCCACTGTTTGATCTAGTTTAGCACAATAACAATTGAATACAGACACTCCCTGACTTACGCAAGCATTCTGTTCCGGAACACCTTGCGTAACTTGAATTTTGCGTAAGTCGGAAACGTATCTCTGACCATTGCACAAAAAACCCACAAAACCTCCTATTTCTAGCTTATGGAACTTTTTCCGTAAACTCAGATTTGTGTACGTTGGATTTATGTAACTTGGGGAGCATCTGTAGGTGTTTTTTAATTAATAGTGTATATGTATATTGCGTTTAGCATTTATAATAACAAAATTAAATGTGTTCTATTCAGTATTATTGTGTGTATTCAGAAATATTACAGTAATCATTGTTTCCTGTCATTTGAGTATTGGGTAACAAAATATTTTATGTAAAAGGCAATTTAAAAAGTCCTAGGAATTGTCGGATGTGATTTTTGTGGGGGTGGGGGTGAGGCGGGGGAACCATATGAAACTGACTTGTAAAAATACATTTAAATAATTTTAAGGTTGCACCAGAAGCCAATAAAAACTAACAAAAAATTTAAAGATATATCTCCCAAACCTAGGCACAATAGGTCCCTCGGGAGGGTGGGGGCGTTCCTTATTGCATCAAGGCAATCAAAGTAATTTAAAACTCGGAATCTCCTCCTTCATATCACAATCTTCGTGTTCTTGTTTCGGTTTAAAAAATATCAATGCTTTTCTGTTTTCACGTGATATCTGATTTTATGGCAGCCTCAAACTTTTTCCTTTTTTATTTTGGTTATAGTAAATTGTTTAGAAATATTTTACAGGCAAGCTTCCTGCGAGAGAACCACTCAGCATCCTGAATCCTCAATGTGTTTAGATTGTGAGTTGTGTGTTGGAGAAAATACACAATATAGAGAGGGTTTCTCAGGTTATTTAACCTAGTAACATTAATTTAAAAAATTCCATTTTATTTTTCCTTACTGACAGACGTGCACATACACTGGGGTTTATCTCTTTGTGATACATCTGTCTTTATTATCCAGACTGATGCATAGAGGTAAAGAGGAGACAGTATCTTGTTTCAGAGGCTGGTGCCATAAACCTTCCCTCCGGCTGGAATGCCTCCCAGTGACTCCCTAACCTCATCCTAGTTTCCTAGGTATCACCCTAATCCTCCCGTTCCTATCATCAGTTCAGGCTGAAGTCCCAGTTCCAGGTGTAGTAACTTCATCACAGGTAAAAGTCTGAAGGCAGCTGGGCACTTAAAGGAACTGCCCAGGCCAGCTTTCACAGTGCTCTTAGGTTAGGTAATGTGTCCAACCTGTCGCACTAGCAGGTTGCCACATGCTGCCTGACTGTATCAGGGGTTGGGGTTTTGTTCCGTGAGTTCCTTTGCTATTGTCATTTTATGACTGAGTGGCAGGTTAGTACCTACCACACTACTGTCTCTCAGTTTTGCTCCCCTTTACTAACATTAGGCAGCTTGCCTCACTGCGTTAGCGGGAAAAGGCTTTTCATTGCTCATTCCCCGAGGCCGTGTCGGCCTCCCGCTTGGTTACTGGAGTGGAAAGTGCCTCCCTTCCGGCACGGAGCGGTTCAGCCCCGGAGCGCGGCTGTAGCGTTGTACCGAGCCTCTCCCACCTTCCCCTAGTTCCGGGGCTCGCTCCCGAGATGGGCGGGGTGGGAGGCCGCCTGAGCTGTGCGCCGGGGCGAGGCGGGAGTTTTACCTGCGGGGCGCAGGGCCGGGGGCGCTCGCTGCTCAGGCTCTGCACTGGCTGTACGCGGCGGTTGGTTTCCCCAGGCGGTACGTGGCGTGGCGGGAGCGGGGCTGCGCCGCTGTGAAGGGCTGGGGGGCTTTGGAGCCGGGGTCTGGTGCCTCGTTCCCCGCTCGTTGCTCTTACCCACCACCCTCCGGGGTGCCAGGCGGCGTTGGCTCCGCCAGCTCGCCGGGCGGGGCGGGCTCCACCCCCAGGGCCGCCTCCTCCAGCCCGAGCCCGGCTCTCTCTGCGGGGCGTTGCGGTGCCGCCTCCCGCGTCAGTACCGCTCGGGGAGGGGGTGAGGAGGAGGCTCCTCGGTGCCGCGTCGGGAGAGAGACAAGCGGGGCGAACGCAGCGGCGGCTCCTCCGGGGAACAAAGAGGGGAGCGCTGCAGCGAAATGGTGAGTGGCGGCGCCCCTGCCCCGCTCGCCGCGGCGGGAGGGTCTGGATCGGAGGGGCCAGACTGGCGGTGCAGCTGAGCCCAGCTCCCTGAAGGGCCCCCGAGGGGGGGCGGAGAGGGCCCTGCGGAGCCCCCAGGTGGTGTGACAGCCTCGCCCTCTGGGACAGCGGCCCTAGGGACCATCACCCCTCTCCCAGACGGTGCCACCCCTCCCCCCCCCGAGTCCGTGTCACCCCCTCCCCAGATGAGGTGTGGTGCCACCACACCCCCGAGTCCCTAGCGGTGCCACCCCCTCTCCAGACGCTAGTGGAGTACTGTCTCCCAGGGACCTTGTGATGCCCCTTTCCAGATGTGAGTACAGTTCCACCCCACCCGGACTGTCACCTCCTTCCTAGACAAGGATACGCTGCCTCCCCCTAGACGCAGTGTCCTTTCCCTCCCATAAGGATACGATGTCCGTCCCGTCCCCCTCCCCAACCCAGTCACACTCATATACCCCAGACTGGGATATGGTGCCACTCATGCCCCCCCCCCCCATACATGGATACAGTATCACTCCTCTTGAAAGAAGGTATCAGCCTTCCCCCCGCCCCCCCACTGGGATCGGAGGGGCCAGACTGGCGGTGCAGCTGAGCCCAGCTCCCTGGCCACATCGCCACATGCCCTCAGAGACAGGAGGCAGTGTATCGGCCATCCACAGGCAGTGATATATTGCTCCCCCAAGTGTGTCCTTCCTCCACAGAAAGAATGCCACTTGCCAAGAGTGTTCTCTCCCCCACCCCCTCGCCAGGGTGTGTCACCTCTCCTCCCCACTATGTGTCCTCCCCCATACATGGAAAAGAGGTACACATGCACAAATATGTGCCAAATATATAGTGTTCCTGACGTATATATGTGTAATAAAATATATTTTATTTCCGGAGATATCTAAGTAACTATAACTTTAATAACAAAATCCAGAGAATAAGGTTATTAATGTTGTATGTGCATATGTATGTAATATATCCTACACTCATATGTCTTATATGAAAAGTGAATATTCTCCAGGCCTGAAATAAATTTTGAAAGTAATTTTTAACTCTGTTCCTGAGACAGATTGTGTGTGTCCGTTTTGTGTCTCTTTCTCCGGCTAGACTCACAATGAACTCTAGAGAAGCCCCATGCACATAATAAAAACCTATATTATGTGTCTAGTAGTATTACACCAAACAGCTGTGTTTCTTAGCATCAGTTACTGGAAGCTTTCTGTGACCAGCTAGCCACTCAAAAAGTCTGGGAGGAGGGGAGGGGAGGGAGAGAGAGTGTAAATCTCTATGTATACATATTATATATGTATGTAGCAGTGAAGGATTATGAGCGAAATAAGTGATTTTCTTGTTGAGTGTCCTTGGTGAGCTTCCTGGTGGCATGTTGCCTTTGCTCCTGTTACTGGATACATTGCATTCATGTTTTACTACCAGTATTCCAGCACTAAATACACCATAAAATTATTTTGGTAATAGTTTTCTGGCACTTCTTGGATATAATACCAGCACTGCAATCTATAATTTTGTCAACTTCTTTAGTACACTTAAAAGCTTGTGAATTAGTTTCTGTTTTCAAGACTAAAATGCTAAAACAAACAAACAAAAAACAAAACAAAACCCTTCCTCTTTTGCTTCTCAAAAACTTGACAAATTAGATTTTTTTTAGCTCATTCTAGACTTACACCTGACCCTGCTAACCACTCTCTGATGGTGGACTCTTTAGTCCTGTAGAACAGCTTGCAGAATCAGTCTTATTTTTATTCTCTTTTGTTTGTTTTCATTATGGAAAGGGCAGTTCTGTCTAATATTAAACAAATTGTAAAAAAATATAAATTTGTCTATTAAGTGTGTTTTCCACAGTCATTTATTAATCTATCCTACAAGGACAAACTTATTAAACTCTAAAATGGTTTAAGAATATTGAAGATAGTTAACGGTTAAAAGCAGACAGAACTGCAGTTTAAAACCTTAATTGTTACTCTTGATCACCATGCTTGAGCCAAGTAGCTCACTAATGTAGATAAGATTGCCATTATGATGACCAGAGATAATTCTCTGTTGTTATTGCCTTTCATAAATTGTTCATATTTACAGAAAACTTTTATCTATATGTTTTAAATTATTATTAAACATTTATCCACAAACTGAATATCTGTACGGGCTTGTCTTGAATTAGACTGGAGATCTTTTAATTTTTCATGTTGCTTAGTGCAGAAATCTTGTTAGAGGAAATATTTTTGTGGACTCATTTTAAAAAAGCTAATTATTTTTTCCAGATTATTAATGCTTTGTTCTTTTTCTTTGTTTTCTAAACAATTTCAGAGCAAAGTCTGAAGAGGCATGGATGTAACATGAGTCCCTTTAAGTACTCAGAACAGATATGAATTTTGCAAAGTTTATTTTTTGGTAAATTAGATAAAAATGGATGAATCGGCTTTGTTGGATCTGTTGGAGTGTCCTGTTTGCTTAGAACGTCTTGATGCTTCTGCAAAAGTCTTGCCTTGCCAACACACATTTTGCAAACGTTGTTTGCTGGGTATCGTGAGTTCTCGAAATGAGCTTCGTTGCCCAGAATGTAGGACTTTAGTTGATTGCAGTGTTGATGAACTTCCCAGTAATATTCTACTGGTTAGACTACTGGATGGCATCAAGCAAAGGCCCTGGAAACCTGGCACTGGTGGTGGGACTAGTTGCACAAATGCATTAAGAGCCCAGAGCAGCACTGTTGCTACTTGTGGTTCAAAAGACCCACAGAGCTCGCAAGGTGGACAGCAGCAAAGAGTACAAGCGCGGAGTCCCCCTGTTAGGGTAAGTATCCACTATAAATGATAAACCATACCTACAGGTAGCAGTTGTTGTGTTGTTGTTGTTGCAATTATATCTCTTTCTAGACTCCTTCAGAACAGTTGAATAACAACATTTGTTGCTTCAGGGGTTAAAAAAGGGCAATCAAATGTGTCCTCTGCAAAAGCAAAATCGTATCTGTTCATTCACAGTTATGATTTAAACCAATTTTTTTGTGTAACAAAAGCTTTGAGCAACTGTTGATAGCACATTTCCAGGGAAAAGGTCAATATTTATCACATTCTTATATTATATACTCTTGGCTTTAGTCTTCATATATTTATATTGCTAGTTACTGATTGCTGGGGAAAATGTTTATAGCCAAAGGGTAGGATGCATTTTTCTGTTTAAAACTCTTAATTGTTGAATTTAAAATAGTTCAGGGGGAAGAAAACCAGCACAGGCCCTTAATATTCCCATTGACACTAAAGAGGAAGCTAAATAACTTGAACAAGACAGTTTGTATGAATTGATTGGTTGCATAATGAACAATTATTCAGTTTTGCTAAGAATATTTTAAATTGTTTGCTACTCGTTAACTCTAACACTAGAAATTGATTTTATTCTAGGTTGCTCTATGTTCTATTGATTTTTCTGTAAGAACAAGTATTGCAATCAGATTTTCATAAATTTTCTATAATGGTTGTTTAGTTCTTAAGGGGAAATTCTTGCCTCATTGAAGTCAATGGGGATTTTGCCATTGACTTTAGTGGAGCCAGGATTTCACCTCTATCTAAGAACCCTAGAATTGGTGGTGTTTGATAATTTCTCTCTACTTTTTCACTTTATTTTTAAACGGGAAGATTTTCTAACTATCTTTCATAAATTGTTCTATCACTTAATGGGTTGGCTACTTCCTTTTGATTTTTTTTTTCATTATTTTACTTTTGATTAGTACCATAAGGATCATATTCATGCAAGTTTTCTGTTTTGTTTTCAGTAAAGTAGATAGATTAGCTAAAGTTCAATTATTAGGAAGTGTTGTATTGGTGAGTACATGGAAAATTCTCTTGATTATCGTATTTAATATCTCTGTATGATAATATTTTAACTTGTTTTGTATGTATGAAATCCGTGCACTGAGAATTGAGCTTATTGGCTCGTACCTTTGCTTCTGTTTCTTCTTGGGATTCATTCAACTCTTTCATGCCTTATACTCAAAACTCCAGTAGCTTAATTTATTATGATTTTTTCTAGAACCAGAAATTGAGATCATTTTATGAGCTGATTTGACCCATCTTTGTTTTATCTAATGACAGACCAGATTAGCTTCTTTTAAAAGCTTTTGTGGCACATTTAATGAAACTTGTACATGCAGAGCTTCTGGGTATGAATTGAAATTGGCTTAATGATTTATGTGCTTTACCTGTTTGAAGAATGCATTGTATTTTGAGAAATGGCCTGATGAAGTTGAAGAAAGGGATGCAAGTATTAATTTTAGAGAGCTATTCTTTATCTCAGGCTACATCTACACTACAGGGGGGGTCGATTTAAGATACGCAAAATCAGCTACGCGAATAGCGTAGCTGAATTCGACGTATCGCAGCCGACTTACCCCGCTGTAGGGACGGCAGCAAAATCGACCTCTGCGGCTTCCCGTCGACGGCGCTTACTCCCACCTCCGCTGGTGGAGTAAGAGCGTCGATTCGGGGATCGATTGTCGCGTCCCGATGGGACGCGATAAATCGATCCCCGAGAGGTCGATTTCTACCCGCCGATTCAGGCGGGTAGTGTAGACTCAGCCTCAGGTAAATCATCTATATATTTAGTTTTCTTTGTGGCTAAGGAATCAATGACTTGCACTGGATAACTTAAATAATTACTGCTTACCTGAATTACTGGTATTTCGCAGATACCACTTATGTACATCACATACGTCAAACTGTGTTGAGAATATAAAATGTATGGATTCTTCCACCAGGTTTTATATTTTGGCC